TTTTGTGTTCTGAGCTATTGTCTCTTTTTTTGTAAAAATTTCGTGTGCTTGCGGGCTGTGTTCGGCGAAGAACCTGTGTTGCGTTGGTGTGTCCTAACAATTTTCATCAGTTGATCTTCTGTTCCTTCTATATATTCCGCTAGGTTTGTGGTTTCTGCCACGTAAGCCGCCTCTATCTGTATCAGGCCTCGTCCTCCCTCTTTTCTAGGAACATACAGACGGTCTGTATCTGCTCTTGGGTGATGCTGTCCAGAGGTAGTTAACATTTTCTTGTTTTCCTGTCCAATTTTTGTATTTCCTCTTTGTGCCAGTTAATAATTCCAAAACTGTATCTCAGTACTGGTACTGCCAATGATCCAATTGCTTGCATTTTGTTTTTTGGCATTCAGCTCTGTGTTCAAAATCAATCTTAATCTTCTTACATACTCCTTCTTCAATCTTTCTCTCTCTTTCTTGTGTTCTATCTGGTGGTTATCTTCTATTCCCAGGTACTTGTATGCTCCATTTGTTTCTAGTTCTTTAATTTCATTCGCCCCTGTTTTTTCTATATGCTCTTTTCTTTGAACCTTACTTTTTTTATCGAAATTCTGGCACATTTTTCTAATCCAAACTCCATTTTTATATCACTACATTATTATTATTATCATTATCATTATCATCATCATCATCATCATCATCTCTTGTCACAGGTTTATTTCCTGGTATTCCTTTTCTTGAACCAATGATGCACCTCACCACTCAGGCTTCAAGCTTCACACTGTAGCACTTTCCGTAGTATGTGTGATGTTCCCAGGATAGCTGTTNTTATTATTATTATATGCTATTTTATGATGTAATAAGTTTGCCTATCTGCAACCTGCAAAATTGATGTTAACCTACTGTTGCAAATAATGGACTCATACAATTTTGTATATGTATTTTGAAGATTATTTTGATATGTATTTTAAGGACCATTTCCACATCCTGGTTACATACTGTACGGATCTATGGAAAATAAATAAAATGAATGAATGAATGAATGAACCTCCATGGACGCTACCCCTTGGTACCTGCCCATTCCTAGTGGATAGTGCATTCACGTCCTTGTACTTACGAGTATTCACCACTCAAATACTTGATATTATTCGTATTGTAAGCTTGTACTATTATATTATTCAATACATTTATCCAATTAACCTCATGATTGACTCCTAGAGACTTGAATTTCAATTCTTAAAGTGTTCCAACAATCCATAACCACAGACTATCCGCTCAGTCTGCATGAGTATCCCATCATCCTTTAGGATACAACAATGGGAAGCAAAATAAGTGCAGCACGTCATGTAGATAAATTTTTAAAGATTACAATGTTTTAACATTGCCTTCTCTGTATATATTGGAGGTGACATGCTTTATCAAAAAATACAAGGCTTTTATGGCAATAAATTCAGATAATTCTAATTATAACACACGAAGAAAATTAAATTTTTGTGTACAGCACTGTAATACAGCTCTTTTTAAGAGGAGTGTGATAAGTATGGAAATTTGTTTGTATAATAGGGTCCCCAATCAAATAAAATAAAGAGAAAATTTTAACTCATTTAAAAAGGAATTAAAATCTTTTTTGCTGAAACATTCCTTTTATTCTGTAGATGAATTTATGTCTTTTGATTCATCAAGTGTGTAAATGTAATATGTAGCTGATTAATTTGTTGTATTTGTGTAAAGACAATGAAATTAATGGTAACTAGATCTGGATTGTATTATTCAGAGGACAAACCCCCTATATTAGGGTGGTACAGTGTATACTGTAAAGATATGCACGAGAATTAGATGTAAAACTGACAATTTCCCTATCCAAATGGTTGTAATACCTGTATGTATGGATTGTTGAATGATAATAAAAAAATTAAAACCAAACACTGAATACATACCTTTATTTTGTTGTGTATAATGTATTGAAGGTACACACCAAGGAAACTGGCAACTGCAACGCAACCGAGATTTCCGGGAATTATCAGCCTGAGTTGAACACATGTTACTGAAGGGAGCAGCACAAATTGCGGAAACGGCAATGCAACTCGCGGGAAGACTAAGTATGGAGTGATCCATGACACGGAGTACAAACTGTGGTATTTTCCCGTCATCCTATTATGCCTTTCTTCGGGTCCTAATTTTTTCTTAGCATTTCGAGCGTAACCACTGTAAGTGTTAGATGTACCACAAACAGACAACATTTCTGCATCTATTGTTCCACACAGCTTTTACTTTGATAAGCCATGCTTCTCCAAACGTCACACCCGTCACACCTATGTTCATTCAAATTTATTTTCTCAGTGTACCCGATAGCAGCGCCAATGGGAATGAACGGCGAGGATGGTGACGAGTCAATTGAGGTTTGATGTTGTGAGAGGGAGGTTTGATGATGCCTCCCTCTGAATTAGGTTGTACGAGCCCACTTTTGAGAGCTGAGCATTTTGATGTAAACAACTCAATAGAAAGAATCAAGTGTGTGTTAGTCGGAGATGGAGCGGTGGGAAAGACGTCATTAGTAGTCAGCTACAGCACAAACGGATTTCCGAACGAATATATTCCAACAGCATTTGACAATTACAACGGTGAGTACATTTGTTTCTGATCATTTAAAGTTCGCCTGTCATGGCAGTTGAGTCGAGTACTGTGACGTATGCATATCTTGCTGTACTGTTTTGATATAAATGGTCAATTGATGATTTAATTTTGACATGGGACGATCGTGTATGTGAAGAAATGACAGTCGTGAAAGACAATATATATGTTAAGTTTTTGTGATGATCATCATGTGTTTTCCTGCTGTTAGTGACTTGACATTTCGATATCTTTTATTGAAATTTGCACTTACGAATATGACTATTTGTTGCCATTCTGATCATTATTGATTTTGCTCAAAGCTGTAACACACCCTGTCATCTATTATGAATGTGGCTGCAGAATGAATGGGTTGCATCCAGCGAGTTGCAGTATAATTAGTGAGCGACATATAGTTTGCGGAATCAATTTAAAATAAACACTGTGTTATGTGTGGGACACGCGGTATCATAGTTGGTTGAGACACAATTTTTTTTTTTTTTGCCATTTTCCTAATCCTTCCAGCTGAACTATGGCTCTGGGGTCGACTTAGCATCTAACAGAAATGAGTACCAGGAATCTTCCTGGGAGGTAAAAGGCGGCCGGCGGTTAAGGTTGACAACCTTACCGCCATCTGTGAGCGGATTGTCTAGAGAAAATGTGGGAGCCTCGACATCTCACAGCTCTATGGGCCTTCACGGCCTGTTACAGGGTCAGCTTTACGTTTTACTGTGTAATGTGTAAATATCAGCCATTCCATATTTTCCTTTGTACAGTGAATTTACTTGCACCAGCATTAACTCATTTTTGTATCAAATATGCACTCGTGATTAGTAAGAAATATGTGATTTAAGTGTGGATACAAAATGAAGTGCCCAATTATTAAAATATTTGTGTCAGGATGTCCTGTACCATAATAAAATGAAGCAGTGGTCATGTAGACTGTTTTTAAAGTTACACCATTTTAATAGTTTTTACCATAGTTGGTTATGGTGTATGTCTTCTGCAGTAAATGGTATAGAGTTTTACCACCTGTTCTGGATATTGCTAATATTTTGAGTGGAGTTGATAACAGTCTCTTTGTAAATAAACCTTGATTACTCTTACTTCAATATGATTGAACTCACCTTGACAGTCATAATTTATGGGGTAGACTAACCTGGCATTTGTAGAAAACATTCAGTGTCTTCTTGTAAGGTCCTGGCTAGAGATGAATTAATGCTTCACCTGATTTGCATATAAAATGTTCTGAATTCTGATGGCTGGGTTTACAATTACTTATGTGTATAGTCAGTTGGTTTGATGGAGGGTGGTCCTTACTGAAGAGTCAGTCCAGTCTTCTGTCTGTTAAATATCACCCAACATTTTGGAGGCACATGTCACCTCCATCTTCAGGGTCAAATAATAAGCCACACAAGAAAGCAACATGAAGCAGGTAGCAAGCAAAAGACAAGACTGGTCATAAACATGACTGTCAGGACCTTAAATCCTACATTGTCTTCGCTGTTTTACTACTGCTTACAGACGAAATCTTTGTCAGATTTCAGCTGAAAAGTGGATTATTACTGGGTCTCATAAATTGCTAGCTAATGAACTAAATGAGCATTTATACTTGTGTAATCATTAATATAACTCCTGTAGACTTGACATTTAAATGTGGATCTGTATTGTTGCAGCTTTATCGTGGGCCATGTAAGTTGTATAAACATAAGTTGCAGTGAACTAATGGAGATATAAATACATATTTTTTTTACATACATATATATATACACTCAGTTGGGCCTGTTAGAAAGATCCAGTCTCTGAAACGTGGCTTTTTGTCTTATATATACCAGACGATGGATAGAGTCCAAGATAAGCCTAATAGTTCTGTACAATGAAATATTATTTGTCGCTTAATACAAACATGGGAATAATGTAAAACGTTGAGGATAAATCTTACAATATATCCAGAATATGTACTTCAGTAATAAATGTTTAAGGAAAAAAAAACACATGTCCTAATTGCTTCTCATATTTAACATGAAATGGAGGTCACCATCTGACATGTAGTGCAATTAATAGAGCATGTTCATGTTTTTGGTGTTACTCAATTTAAACCTTCACAAAGTTAGTAGCTGTGCTGAGGGTTTTCATTGTTTGTGCCCTCCCATGTGTAGAATACTGCCTTGAAATTATTCACACCTGGTTCTAAGTCCTTTCTAATTTGTCAGACATTATCTGATCTAAATGTAATACTACACAGCCATATAATTTTGTACAGCATCTGTAATTACATGTCAGAAATAAAGAAAATGTAGCATTACAACACTTCTCTCTGTTCCCCTTCCAGATAATGTGACTGAACTTACTATGAAAAATGTCTCTTTGTCAGCTCTACTATATGGACTCTGAACACTGGGCTATTTGGGAAGTGTGTAGTCAGTATATACTTGTACATATATATAAGCCATTTAGATTTTCTTCTACTCACAGAGAAAGAAATGAGATAAACATATCTGGTATGTTTTGATCTGTACATTGAAGACTTAGTTCACTATCGTGGCATATTTTAGAATTTTTACATATTTTTACTTTGAAGTCTCTTCCTGAAACTGTCAGGAAGATATTTTCTCTTTTAATTTCTGCATATTTCTATTTCATCTGAAAGTAATGTTGTCAGAGTGTCCTAGCAATATGTGAAATATTCACTTGTCTGACTTCTTTGCTTTGCTGAAAACAAAATTCTGACATTTACTATCTTATTAAACTGTAACACAAAGCTGTAATACTTGCAGGATTGTATGTGGATCACATACATCTGGTAGAAATGTGGTGAGGAGTAAGAGGGCCTTTGTGAGATATTTCAGAAGACTCCATGAAGGTTAATAGAAAATAAATACTAGACTTAATTTACATACAGCATTAATTTAGTGTAATGATGTGGAGAAATAAAGGAAGGTAAATGTGCTAGAAAATTTCTTCCTACTGTTGTGGACTCATAACTGTGGCCTTAGTTGCATTAGTGATTTTTGAATTGAATTGAATTTATTTACATTCTATAAATCCTAAGCAGGTTAGTACCTTTGGATACAGAACAAGTCAAAATGTTACATACATAAGTACAGGCAATTTTAGCTTAAAAATTAATATAACTTAATTTTACATCATTCTCTATTTACATTGAAGTATTCATCTAAAGAGTAGAAGGAATGAGCATGTAGATAATTCTTTAACTCTGATTTAAACTTTTTAGTATCATTGCCCAAGTTTTTAATACTTTGTGGCAGATTGTTGAACACTTTTATGCCAGTAAAGTAGACTCCTTTTTGATATACTGATAAAGTTGATGAGGGTAGGTGGAAGTCATATTTTTGTCTAGTATTCATGTTATAGACATCAGAATTTAATTTGAATTTATCTTTGTTGTAAACAACAAATAGGAGAAGCGATAATATGTATTGCGATTGAAGAGGTAGAATTTTTAATTTCTTAAATAATTCTCTACATGAATCTCTACTTCTACATCCTGTAATGATTCTAATTATATTCTTTTGTATTTTAAAAATTATTACACTATGTGAAGAGTTCCCCCAAAATATTAATCCATAGTTCATAATAGAATGAAAGTAGGCATGGTAAACCATCTTCAATGTTTCCTGTGACATAAAAGGCTTAATTGATCTCATCGCATAGCAAGCTGCATTTAATTTAGGTATAATTTGTTCAATATGTATTTTCCAAGACAGTGTACTGTCTACATGTATTCCAAGGAATTTTGTATCAAGTACTTTACAGATTAATTTGTTGGCATAACTGATGTCCAGATCAATTTGGTGGTTGTTTTTAGTTGTGAATGATATATAATGGGTTTTATCAAAATTTAATGAGAGTAAATTGGCTTCGAAAGTAAATTGGCTTCGATGTAAAGCAAGTGGACAGAGTTATGGCACTTGGCATGCCTATCATCTTCCCTGCAAGATATTTCAGACTCCTGAAACCTAAAGAGTAATTTCTATTTTATCAAAACAGGTCTGTTGACTTAAGTGATTTTCCTGGTGCAGCCACTTGAATGTTGTTCTGTACAAATTATTGACAAGTCAGAAAGATTTTTTGTGGGACATATTTTATATATAGAGCTGGGACTCAGTCAGTATAGTGACTGGGTGGCTGAGGTTCAGTTCTTGGCAGGGCCAAGATTTTACTCTTCTCCATAATGTCCAGACTGGCTCTGGGGCCTACCCAGCCTCCTTTGCAATGGGTACTGATGGCTGTTTCCCTAGGAGTAAAGCAGCCAGCGCATGCATTTTAAGCACTTACCTCCATCTAGTGCCGAGGTCAAGAATGGGGGAGCTATGTCTCCACTCCTCCATGTCTTCATGGCATTAGTGATTAATTAAGCACATGGACAACTTTACCTTTACCTTTTACCAAATTATTGTAACATGTAGACCCATTGCTGGGCAACGGGTTGCTAAACATATTCCTGTGACAATGAATACTTCTATTGCTAGGCAACAATGCAGTAAAAATGCCTTCGCAACAATAGAGGAAGCTGTGTTTTCTATGTGGTCCGTGCCACACATTCTGATATGTGACGTGTTTTCTGTGTGGTCCGTACCAAGTCTATACAGCGAGAGATTAGAGAATTATCATTGGAGAATTGGGTCGAGTTGTGGAGGGTCAGCATTCCAAGGTGATTGAACAAGAATTGGCAAGAATCTTTCACAGTGATTTGAAGTGATATCTTCTGTGATAAATCTGGTGCCAGGAAACAGATAGTGTGTCCTTGTGATTTGTGAAATGGGTAGATTAGTGGTAGCACTATGATTGATTGTGAATAAGAGAGATTGTAAAAGAAGGTGTCAATGAACCCAGTCTTCCATTTCAGCACCCGTTATTATTCAAGAAGGAACTCCAGACATATGACATTATATATATAACATATACAATTATTAACATTTCTCTTAACCATTGTCACACCCATATCTAAGATGAAATTAAACACAAGCTCATTATATGTTTGGGAATA